GGGGATTTCCAAAAATCTTGACCTACACCAAAAACGGTCGTTGCCCTACCTGTAGGAGAGGTTTGGTTTCATTGGTGTGTATATTTGTTTGGGTATAGAGAAAACTCTCCTTGTCTTTAAAAAAACAACAAACAAACAGAACAAGGAACAAAAACTTGACCTTCAATTTTCTAAAAACAGCATTTTTTTCGGGATAGAACCCTTGTGCTTAAAAGCGACCATTTATAATGAGCACTGAAACCACCAGAAACCAAACCGAACTGAACTGAACTGAACCGAACGGAACGGAACCGAACCGATCCATCCAAAGGGTACAGCGTATTATCCTAATCTCTTCCCTTCCTTCCCACACACCTAACCCTAATCTACCATTCCCACACACCTAACCCTAATCTATTCTTCTTTCCCACACATAGAACAAGGCTCACATCTGCTTCCGCCCACGCCACACGCTCGACTCCGCCTGCGGCGATGGCCTGGTCAGTCTGGCCGAGGATTGCGACCCTGGATTCACCAGCGACAGACAAGACAAGTGTTGCGAGGCACGGTGCCGCTTCAGCCCCGGGGCGGTGTGCTCACCTCTGAACCACCCTTGCTGCACGAGCCACTGCCGGATAGCTCCAGCCACTCAGCCCTGCGTGGCGAACATCAGCAACGACTGCGTGGGCTCTTCCTTCTGCACGGGCGCAGACGCCTTCTTCTGCCCACGCCCCACCCCTCTACCCAACGGCACCCCGTGTCGTGGCAAGGGCACCTGCTGGCATGGACGGTGCGCGTCGTTTTGTGAGACGCTGGGCCGAACGTCCGAGCCGCCGCGCCAACTGCGATCCTGTAGCTGCGACGAGGACGCCACAGCCATGTGCCGCCTGTGCTGCAGAGATGAGGCCAAGGGCGACAAGTGTTTGGCCATGGGTGGGGGATACCCGGACGGCACGCCCTGTCTGCTAGGCGTCTGCCTCCGCGGCACTTGCCAGAAGGGTTCTATCTTCTTGTCCAAGATCCAGGCCGAACCATCTAGAGGCGATAAGGCTCAGAAACAAAGAGAATCGACCACACTAGCTATGGGCATTGCCGCTTCCGTGATCTTTGTATGTATTGTTTCCGGGGTCATTGTGGCAGTCGTTCTCAAGGTGAAGGGAAGTGACGATGATGTCAGCAGTGATGCCACTATCGACGAGCTGCGCAAACAACTTCAAGAGGCAATAGGTCACTTGAATGTTTCCCCGAACGACAACGATAATCCTACAATGGTAGCCATATTGAAGCAACAAAACAAAAAAGCCTAATACATGTATAGTGTGTATATATAAATGTGTATGTATGTATGTATACACTCACACACACACAAACACAAACACACACTCATACGCACACATGCACACACATACGCACGCACGCACAAACGCTCGCGTGCGTGCTCACATTGGTGGTCAATTCCACCCAGCATAACTGACGTAGCCTTCATATATCCATCGAAAGCTATGGGCGAATGTTGAAATATTGAATAAATTAACTAACATACTAGAGGTTTAATATACCGGCGTCAGTAGTGCAGCGCTCAGGTGCTTTGCTTTAGCACACAGGAGCTCGATTTCCTAGTTGGGAGAAATTTTTATTGAGTATCTCGGTCTTTTTGCTGGGATGTTATATATTCCCTCTCAGTCCGGGTTGGCCCTGACAGGAAAGGTCGGAAGCCCGCCTCCTAAATGTTCTAAATTGTGTTAATGGGGGTTTAAAACACCTAAACTGAAAAACATTGGTTTAGCTTCCGAAATAGGGTATAGGGAAAACTTAAGTGTTAATTCGCGAGAAAAGCCCATACTACTTAATTGCAGAGATCGTGACAGTTGTCAATATATGAATCATGTCCTTCTTCGAGGGTAAATAGTATTTTAAGCAAAGCCCGTGAGTTGATCAGATGGGAAGCACAGAATAACGAGGCCATTCGTCTAAAGAAAAAGATGTATACAAAGGATTTGAAATCTGTTAGGTACAATTTATAATAACAAAAACGTTGAAAAGTAAAGCGTAAGCGACGTGCCGTGTGCGATGTCGTCTACTTACGTATTGTTTTCTATGCTCTTGTTTCGTTACCTCAGAATTACAAAGTTCGATCTGCTCACTACGTTGTTTGGAAAAAATTGCCTTCACAATTTTAGAGTTTCATAATGTAAAGCTTTTTTCGAGTGCAATTCTTTGAATATCTTGATAACGACTCCAAATAATCTTATGATTTTGATACAGCAGATATTTTTGCTTTCTGACCTCGTGGTCTTAATAACCCAAAACGGCCAAAAATGTCAGATGAAACTTTTAAATTCTGAGGTAGCGATTTATGAGATAATCTTTCTTTAAACGGAACATGAAGTATGAGTACCTTTGTTTTGGAATAAATTTTTAATCCGTATATGATCATTATGAGCATTTTAGTAATATCTTTGCTAGTATAGTATTATTTATTTCTTTGACAGTCATAGATGCAAGAAATAAATTTAGTACGAATATAAACTCACCATTCCATTCTGTGGGAAACTAGATACGTGGTCATAGTTATAGATCACATACTGTTAATCTGGCAATAAGTAGAGAACAAAATCCCAACATACTTGAATTACTTGAATTACTTGAATCTAGAACTGGGGTCTTAGGAAGACGGGATGCTCTATGCTTCCTCGCCCCTCTTCATGAGGGTCCATTTCAGTATGGGCAGGCTGATTGTCTCCATCATCAGCATATTATGTGGTATCAATCTTGAAGCTTTTAAAATGGTATGAAATGTTAAATTAAACCTTTTTTAAAGCGTTAAGAACACTCTAAAAATCAATTACGCCGGGACGATGCTGCAACCCTTTTCTTCTCGATTTGAAAACTCTCGATTGACTCCTTTCGTCCAAGATCTAGGTTATCTTAGTAACTAAGATAGCTTAGTCCAAGACTCTTTTAATGTGTGATATGAATTTTAATTCTTTTTTTTTTTTTTAGATTGAGGAAAGGACTATGTTTTTTTCACTTCCCGAAGTGGCAAGACCAGGGTTGCCTGGAACTGTTCTGAGTTCATGTCATGGACAGAAAGTTGTATGTTGGCTTACTAATAATAGCATTGATAATAACAATAACAACAGCAACAACTATAATGATCGTAATAGTATAGTAATAATCGTAATAATGATGAGGATGATAATGATGATGATTATGAGGATGATGATGAAGATGATGATGATGAGGATGATGATGATGATGATGATGATGATGATGAAGATGATGATGATGATGATGATGATGATGATGATAACTTTTAAAATGTATGTTGCGCATATTCACGCCCCATAGCACGCTCTATGTGCTATACAACTGTTATTATTTAAACAGACCGAAGAACATGACTCAGAAACATTCCCGGGAGGCATAAGGCGCAAGCAGCCCATTGGGCTCTTAAATACTAACAAACTGACAAGATCTTTCGCTATCCTTAGCCGGGTACCCATTTCCACCTGAATAAAGTGAGGAAAGTACGAGTTAAATGACTAAGGGATTCGAACCCACGAACTTACAACTGATAGTCCAAAAGTCCGAAACTCTAACCTCTCGATCAGCGACGACACCCAGTATAAAACCATACCAAAGTATTAGCCTTGTAGTCCCAGTATAGGGAATTGTAGTGTAGCTGTAAAACACATTGCTGTCGCGCATAGGACTTCGATCCTGTATGAAGATAATTTTTATAAAATCCAGAACATCCTTTTTTCTTCTGGGACTTTGTATCCTTTTTAGCCCGAGGGAGGGGGGGGGGGGGGGCGAGTACCTCTACAATTACATAAAAAACCAGTAGTCACAAAAGATAATTCGTTTAGTAAACGTTTTAGGGAACTTGCAACAGGACATGGTCATATCATAAGTGCAGAAGATTAGCGAGTATTACCAGAAAATAGCAAACACAATAAACAGTAGGAGAAATAATATGGACGATAGATGTTTGAAGGAAAGAAGGAGCAAACCACACCAGAGCACCCGCCAATCACTCACCAAAAAGATAGTTAAACTACTCTTCTATGCCGCTAATAGGCTGACATGACAACATTCTGCCTATGTCATCCAGCTGTGATACGGCCAGTACGATGATTAAAATTTATAGGTTCTGGTTTAGTTTTAGGTGAGTAAACAGTTTCACATAGTTTTTGGAGGCCACTTATTCAGTCAGCTTTTGTTTTTGCTCTGACGATAAACCTGTCTCAAAGCAATTACAAATCATTTTTCAAAGGTTTTTATAGCTACAGTGTATGTTTGAAGTTTGAATCAACAAGCTTTTATGCATACATGTGTATATTTTGTAATGCCATTAACAGCCAAAGTCACTCCCACCTTTCATGATTATCATGATGATGATGATGATGATGATGATGATGATGATGATGATGATGATGATGATGATGATCATCATCATCATCATCATCATCATCATTCGCCTCTTTCACCCCGGTATTAGATATAGGTCGCCAATACGGGCTCTCCACCTGTCTCTGTTGCGGGCGATATTGTTTACATCCAGCCAGCTGTGTCCCATATACAGTGGCGACCAAAAGAAACTTGAAAATGTCATCATCCAATCTTCGTGTTATAGCCTTGCACTACCTACTCAAGCAGCATGCCAATCTAAAGCTAAATAAATTCTGCATCATCTGACACATTCATATTTCATTTGTGTTAAGAGTTAACCATGAAATGGTCACTCAAAATTGACCTAAAAAAATCAAGCTTGGCAAAATTGGGCAAGTTTGTTTTGGGCGCCACTGCATATCTGAGACCTGCCTCTAGATCTCTCTTTCAGGTGGATTTCGGCCTTCCTCACTATCTCCCCCCCCCCCCCCTTGCAGTTTCATCATGCTATTTCAGTGTACAGATGTAGGCAGAGTGGGCGCCGACGCGTCGTCGAAGCGACGAGTAATCGTTCATGACGTATATTTCTGATGACGACAGATTTTATATTTACCGAAGGAATGTGAGGCCCACTCATAGATGTACACAGGAGATAACTCTATGGGCCCACTACAGTGTAGGTCATCGCGGAAGAGACGCGTTTGCGACAAGGCCGCATAAAAAATGTGCCGCGAGTGCACTACAAACAAGTTGCACTAAAATTAATTCATGCGTCAGTCGTCAAATTGCTGCTAGATCTAGATCTAGGTCAAGTGTACGTAGTTCGCAGAGAGTAAGCTAATTTTAATTACAACGTCGGGCGAAATAGATGCGGAAGCATCGAATCATGCGGTTGAAAAAAAAAAAAGACAATACCTTTATGACAAGGGTGATAAAAACTACAGCAACATAAAGTTAATATGTTGATGGTTCCATTTTGATGCACATTTCCTGATCTGTAAGTGTTTAGTCTATTGGGTGGTGGTACTCTCCATATACATTTCGTCTTTGATATATTCTATGCACCCAATATCAACGCCGGGCTCGTCGCCATTTATGTTACGGAAATAACAACCATTAAAAACCACATTCTTCTTCCATTGTTCTAGATCTTCTGGCGAGTTTTAGTAACCGAAAGACGCCCCCCCCCCTCCTACTCCATTCGCACCAGGTGTCTTGGGAGTGTCGCGTAATCCTATCATCAGAAAGATGCGCCGAAACATCCAGCAAGGCTCGACTACTCTGACTCTACCCTTGGACTTTGTCGTATCACATTGTGGGTGGGCTTTTTGAATTTTAAGTGAAATTCCAATCAATCTTCATCTTCTTTTTTGACCTCACAGCCAAATTAGTTTTAGTTTCGTTTGCCTCCATCATATTACATTGATGCTGGTGTTCGGCCAGTTGATTTCCATGTTCTTCCTCAGGCAAACTTTGACGAAGGACAGTCATGTACAATCTGCTTTGTTAGTCTTCATGTTTCTCTGCTTTATAAGTTTTCATGTTTCCGATCCATACAACAATAAACTCTAACATTTGTATTGAAAATCCTGATCTTCGTATCTGTCTTGATGCTTCACGATCTGCAGACAGACTGCAGCTGTTGAAATTCTTCCCTGGTCTTGACATCAGAGGCTGTTTCTCACGTGTCATCTATGACAGACACTCCCTAGATAGGTATATGAGCACAATGGGCACCTCGTTGATCTCAATGTCTTTTTTTGGACACCTGTGTTGATCTTAAATGGTTTGGCCAAGCCAGCCAGCCTCGAATATCTAAATTAACACCAAGTACTCAGGCCATAAAGGAAGAGGAAGACCACGCAAAAGACGGATTTAGAGAGTCAAGGAAACCCTGAAAAATAATAATATCCCAATTGAAAGATCCTGCAGAGCTGGCCTACCGCAGACTACTGCATCTCTTCTGACGCTTAAGAGGATGGAAAAGTAATACATAGTAAAAGTAAGTTGATCTTAATAAGAGCTTTTGGTTTTCCTTGGTACACCCTCAGTCCTGCGCTTTGTGAGACCTTCATTGCTAGGTTCTGGCCGGCCTGTCCTTTTTACTTTCATGTGGTTGTGATGATTGTCACGCAGACAGCTAATCCCTTCAGCGCATTTGAGGGCTTTTTGAGGCCATCTGATTAAACAGTGTTTGTGATAATGGACCAAAGAAATCACGCTG